AAAAAAAAAAAAAAAGGTTTTGTACTCAGGGACAACTCCTTTAATTTTAAGTTCTCCTGAGATTCTATAGCTGAAACAAGTTTTCATAGATTATGAAAAAGTTGTTTAGAAGAGTTTACCTTAGATCAAGCATAGAAACTCACTTGATCATTTCAAAAATAAAAACTTCAAAAAAAATAAAAATAAAAATAAAAATGAAAAGGTAGAACTTGCTCGAAGGATGAGTTTATGTCATCCTAAATAAGAAACCAATAACGACAAAAATCGATGCAGAACTTTGGTGTAATAGCCAATAGTTCATGCCTAACACATGAAGCGTGGCCAAAAAAGCCAACATAATTGTTTGATTTTGAAAAAGAAACTTACATCAAGTTGTCAATGTGGTAGTTCAAGGTTGAATATTCATGCTGATTAAATCTCTAAGGATGTAAAACAATTCATATCCAAAATAGTCATAAAATAATAATAATAAAAAAAAAACAGCTTTCGCATACCTACACCAAAATCCCAGCTGTCTGCCTCTCCTTCCACATTCAGGCCTCCTGTAAATTTTACAAGTACCATGAAAAATATTTATACAAACACTATGCTATCTTTGGTAAATTAATTCCAAAAAGATTGTTCCCCTACTTGGAGATGTATCGGGTGCAATCAGAGCAACACCCTCGGCTGAAGCAGCACGTTGAGCTCCTGACTTTGTTATAAAATTCTCATCTGTGCAGGTCAGGCCTGAGAGCCAGTATAGCACCTGCCCATGAATTGAAGATACAATCTTTTACGGATAATGAAAATACGTTTTAAATCACCAACTGTTTCTTCTTATTGTAGCAGCCTGGTAGGGAAATTTTCACAATAGCAAGAAAAGAACTTCCAAAATACGAACAAGTCTATGCCATTATAAACCGTCAGCTTATAACAAAATCATATTAGATTAAAAAAAAAAAAAAGTATGCCATTTTAACAGACTCCATCAGTTGATTCAAAATTGTGTCTATCAGTATTTTTTTTTCCCCAACCCTGACTAAGAATTCTCCCCAAAATACCATACAAACTGCTTTCTCACCTAATTTCAAATGTCCTCTATGGTTCGTACTTCTGCTTTTCACAATGGTAATCCATAACTTTCACTTATCGTTATAAATCCCACAAAATGCCTAATAAATGGTACTTGGAGAAGCCTAGCCACAGAATTTCTTTTCTTTCCCTTTTAATTTATGAACTAGTGAGTCTAATCATAATTTGTCCAGGTGCATAAACTTAACTCTGGTCCGTTACAACTTCTTCTACACTATGTCTTCTACAAAAATCTGGGGAAGCTCACTATTTTGACTATTATACATCTCTCATTTATTTCGAAAGGCAGTCAATTTCAGCAGAAACTCCACAAAATTTTCCTTAGTAACTAATATTGATCATGATAAACATGCAAATCCAGACAATCAAAACCCAAATAATTATCAAACAACATAAAGGAAATCTCAACAGAAAAATACACAATTACACCCGCTAACAAAAACCCCATGTAACACATTGCAGCTTAGGGAACCCAGATAAGAATTTCTCATCCTGGGCAAGAATATTTCGAATAAAATCGAAATGGGTGTGTGAGAAAATTGAAAATAGAGTTGAGAGAAATGACTTACAGGGAATTTGTGAGAAGAAGAATGAGAAGGAGAAGGAGGGAAGTAGATGTGAAAGGTCATGGAGCAACCGAGTGTTGGGCTGAAGTGCTTGAACCTCTTGTTGTAGCCTCCAAACACCTTGGAGATGCCGATCTCTGTCGGTTTGGTCGCCATCTTTTGCAGTTTCGCAATGGGTCGATCTCTGCTTGGGTGATGAGTGTACCGTGTAAGAGTGAGGGTGCTTTCGCAAATGCAAAGGAGGACACTTTAGCTCAAATATTCTGATGGAAAATTGTGAGATGTTTTTGGGGGGTTTAATATAATTTGGATAAATTTTATTTTTGCCCTTTAGTAGCCCTGTTATTTTACTCCCTAAATTTTAAAAAAATGATTATATAGGGAACGTTCAGTTCGTTAATTCGGGTTGAGATGTGATATTGTGTGAAAGTTTTTTTACTGTAGTAAAAAAGTTAGATGTGACTGTTTCTGAGAGCTTTTTACTGTAACAAAACTTGAATTCTAAACTCGAATCAAGGAAAAGAACGGGGCCATAGTTACTGAATTATAAGGGTGGCAATTTGTGTTAATAGATCGTGTTTGTGTTAATCCGTTTATTAATTGTGTTAGAAAATATTAATCTAAACACGACATGTTTATAAAACGTGTTAATCGTGTCACGCGGATAATCCGTTTAAATTAATATATTGAATAAATAACTAATATAATAATGACTTATTTAACACAGCAAGACAAGTTTAATATGTTTATTGGTCAATTTATCTTTTCTTTTAAGAAAAATAAATGAATTTTACCTATAAATATTAAAATTCACATTATTTGTATTTAATATATCATATAAACTTTTATGTTATATCACATATCATTATATTGTAAATGACACATATAGTTAATCGTGTCAATTCGTGTCACTTCGTGTTAGGAGGTCAACCTTAACCCAACTTAATCATGTTAATCGTGTCAACCCGATTATGACTTAAACTCATTTATAATAAACCCAAACCTGCTAACTTCGTGTAAGTTTTAGAGTCGTGTCGCTACTCGGATTGTCAATTATTAAACATTATTACAAATGACACATATAGTTAATCGTGTCAATTCGTGTCATTTCGTGTTAGGAGGTCAACCTTAACCTAACTTAATCGTGTTAATCGTGTCAACCCAATTATAACTCAAACTCATTAATAATAAATCTAAACCTGCTAACTTCGTACAAGTTTTAAAGTCGCGTTGCTACTAAGATTGCCAACTATGAAACATTATTGATTTTATCCCTTCAGTCTAATTAATGGGCGGAATAGATAACGTGGCAACATTTACAAGGATGGTTTAATTATATATCACCATC